TTAAAAAAAAAACTTTGAACAGTAATGTAATGTTTGAACACTATCTAGTGATCATGGCTGCAGTAATTCTTCAAACGATGTAGAAGAGCATCAGGAACAGCCGTGTTTGCATGTTATACCTGATGCAGAAACACGTGCAAATGATCATCGGTATCAGCAGTTGATTGTCAGTGAATTCTCGCTCCAGTGCTGATGTTGTGTCCACAGTTGGGTCATAACGGAGCGACTCCCGAGAGCTGCTGGCTGGTGGACGAGCTGTCGGTGGCCGTTCCCACCAAAGGCATTCAGTATAGCTTTCTGTGCAAGTGCTGGCTGGCCAAAGACAGAGGAGACGGTCTGACGGCCAGAGTCTTAAACATACTGGACGCCACCACCATCAGCATCATCCGGAAGGTCCAGACGCTTGTTAAAGTGCCCCTATTATGGATTTCTGAAAATTACCTTTCATGCCGTGTGTAACACAGCTCTAAGTGAATGAAAACATCCTGCAAAGTTTTAAATCTGAACGTGCACCGTGTATAAAGTTATTGTCTCTCAAAACAGAGTCGACTCTGAATCATTTAAACAAATCTTTTATAAAACGAATCCCAAGCCGTTTCATGTTGATGTCAACATGAAACATTAGCATATTGCCCGCCCACGGGTTGGTCTGAAATAAAATGCAAATTCATTCTTTGCCACTAGGTGCCGCTTTTGGAGCGGTAAAAATATCTGTTTTCCCGGTAACGCTGTACACAAAGTAGCACTGCGCTCACAAACGCTGCTTTATCAGGCATTACAGGCGAGATCCAATCGGACCAATCACCGCAGATTAGCGTCACGCAAAGCAGGGGTTTGGAAAAATTAATCGTTGAGTGAATCGTTTGGGAGTCGTTAGTAAGGTAAAAATAAATGCATATTATAAGACAGTGGAAGTGTTTTTTGACCTTGCATTAGAGGTCTTCTCGGGTCCTAAAATCTGTACCAGACCGAATCACTTCTTACCCGAACCCGATTTATTTAACATTTATTCAATTTATTATTAGGTTACTTTATATTAGTGCCTGCCTGATGGATACAAGGTATTTCTGAGCTCCGCTTTCAATTGTGACCAGTGGATTTGAAAAATAAACGTGATAGTTTGATAAAAAATAAATCTATGTGCGTTCCTCTCTTAACACGAAAGTGAAAGTAAGCTACGCATTCGGGATAGTTTAAAAGAATTCGGGTCTAATCAGGTCCATTTGGGAAAAGCATGTTTATTTTAAATTACCCGAGGCCGCTAATACCGAACCCGACGCATATTATAAGACAATGAAAGTGTTTTTTGACCTTGCATGCATGTCAACCTGTTGTTGGGGACTCCCAAAACCAAAATATGAACCTTTCATAACCCATAATAGGGGCACTTTAAGTGTGATGAATCTGAAGGTCTCTGTGTGTAGATGGTAGGGCTCATATTCTGGCTGTTGTTCAGGTGGTTTATGAGGTGACGGTGGTCACGGGTGACACTCAGAATGCAGGAACGGACACCAACATCTTCATAACCGTGTTTGGGGCCAACGGTAGCATGGAGGAGATGCTCCTCGCCAAACATGCGGACAGGTGCTTATTTACCAGAATCCATATCACTTTTTGTTCATATTTTGAATCAGATTTTATTTTCTGTAGTTAAGTTTTTGTAATTTTGTTATTTTTATTACATTTTTTTAAATATGTCAATATAGTTTCTATTTTATTTAGTTTTAGATATATTTAGTACATCAAGGTAAAGTAAAAATTAAAATGTGAAATGTCGACTTGGCTGAAATAAGTTTAAGTTCTTATAATTTTATTTCAGGTAACATTTATTTTAAGTAACATGAAATAAAATAAAAATATAATATAATATAATATATAATATAAAAAAGATATATATTTTATTTCACTTAAAGTTTATGCTATTTCTTGTAACAAAAGTAGTTTACATTTTTATAATGTTTATTTTATTTCAAGTAATGACATTTTTATAGTTAGATTTTTTATATTTTAAATTAGTTTTAGTTTACATTTTCACTTCAACGTTTTAGTAATTTTGTTGTGTGTTTCTGACATTTTTATGAGTTTTAGTTTTAGTTATTTTATTACATCAAGTTAAACTAAATTAAAGCGAGAAATGTTACATTGTCGACTCGCTGAAACAATTTTCTTTTATTTTACTTGGTTTATCTTTTGTCATTTTGTCTTTTATGTTTTGTTTGAATGATTTTATAAATATATTTTCAATTTTCATTTTAGTTTTAGTAATTCTGTTGTGTGTTTTTGTCATTTTTATTAGCGTTTTTTTAATCTAAATATATAGTTTTAATAATTTTTATTTTAGCTTAAGTGATTTTATTGCATCAAGTTAAATTGAACTAGCTGAAGTAGTGTTTTTTTTTGTTTGTTTCAGTTAAAATGTATTTTATTTTAAGTAACGAAAAAAAATTTTTTTTAAAGGATTTAGTTCTTGTTAACACTAACAACCCTGGTTTGTGGTAGGTTTGAAAGAGGACAGGAAGACACGTTTAACCTGGAGATCGATGACATCGCGCCCCTGAAAAAGCTCCGCGTTCGCATCGACGCGACAGGAAGTCGTCCTGATTGGTTCCTCGACAAGGTCAGTCTGAGATAAGAGCTTCTAATGAAACTCGAGCAGCTCACGTTCTGTTCGGACTCAAATCTGTGAGTCTTTTAATCAGGTTATCAGGTTAATCACAACATAAGGAATAAAACTCATTAAGGGCATGACTATAAACATGTTGTTTGTTCCTGTCACATGACCCAGATAATCATGAGAAACCTGAGCACGGAGGAGGTGTATGTTTTCACCTACGAGGAGTGGCTCTCCAAGACCAAAGGACCCAAGAGGACCAAGGTCTGTGAACTCTCTGCGGTCGTGGACGACGAGGAGATGGTGGAGAAAACCACATACACCATCCAGGTTAAAACCAGTGACAGCGCTGGTAGGTGCAACGAGTATCACTGCAAAAAATGATTCTCTTACTTAGTATTTGTGTCTTGTGTTCTAGTATAAATATCTATTCATTCTTGAATCAAGATGAATTTACTGCACAAGTAAAATGATTTTAAAAGTCTTGTTTTCTAAAAAAAATCATCAAAATTGTGTTAGTTTTTGCTTAAAACGAGCAAAAATATCTGCTAATGGGGTAAGAAAAATAATCTTAATTCAAAGGCTAAACAATAGTATTTTCAGGGCTCTACAGTGCGACCATTTCAGTCGCATTTGCTATTCGAATGAATCAATTGAATGAATGATTCAGTGATAAAATCAGTGACTTGCCGCCACCTGCTGGCAGTTTTAGTTTCGTTTTTAAAGTATCTTTTCAGTTATTTAAATCATTTAATATTTCTATATTCAAAATTGTATATTTAAAACATTAATCTCATCATGAATTTATGGATTTAATTGCACTCATTCCACTTCTGAGCCTCATTAAATGTCTGAAAGTACACCAAGCCACTTTTGTGTTCTTCTGTGCCACCTCTGCAAATTAATTTTGTTAATACTGATTTCATTTGATTGGTAACTTATATTTCTTATTCTACTTGTTCTTATTCTGTCATTTTAATTACAATTTTTAAAAAGCTTATAAAATATAAGTTTTTAAATAATTTTACAAAAGATGACCATTTTAATAAAGTTAGAAGAGTCAAATATCACCTCGTAGTGTGTGTGTGTGTGTGTGTGTGTGTGTGAGAGAGTGTGTGTGTGGTGTGTGTGTGTGTGCGTGTGAGTGTGTCTGTGTGTGTGTGTGTGTGTGTGTGTGTGTTTGGCCATTTCTATAACACCAGAAAGCAAGACACTATTCAGTGAAGACAGGATAAAAACTGACTAAAAATAATCCTAAAACAGTAAATAGTCCTAAACCTTCTTAAAGTGACAGTTCACCCAAAAATGTACATTTGCTGTTAATTTACTCACCCTCAGGCCATCCAAGATATAGATGAGTTTTGTTCTTCAGTAGAACAGTAAGGAAGATTTTTATCTGAAACCGTGCTCCTTGGTGATTCATAAAATGCAAGTCAGCAGCAACCGGTTTTTGAGAATTTAAAAAAAGCATATCAGGCAACACAAAATTAATACCCGTGGCTCCTGATGATATATTGAGGTCTTATGAAACGAAGTGATCAATCTGTGCAAGAAACTGAACATTATTTACAGCATTATTACCTGTAAACCACTGTTTAATGCAGTTCAGAGATGCCATGAATGCATTTACATTGCAGTCGCACACTGAAAAAAATTATACTACATTTTTTTTAAGGTATGTGGTTTCAAACAATTTATCTTAGCCACATTTTTTCAAAAAAATGTTGAAAGATAGTCAACTAAATTTGTTTATTTAAATGTAGCTAAAATAAATTGATTGCAAACAGTTACCTTTAAAAAGTTATTAAATTCAATTAATCAATTTTTTTTCAGTGCAGCTGCATAAATAATTTTATGAGATTATTGTTTTAAGTATAACATAGATTGAATATAGAACTATGAAATGATACTTGAAATATGAATATTAGGTGGCGGCAAATAAGGGAAACATTGATTTACTAATTCAAAGATTGATTCATTCAAAACGGCTGATTCATTGAAGAATGAAGTGATGAAGTGCTGATTTCTGAACCATGTGCTGTTCTTACTATTTCTGCCATAGAAATATATGCTGAAATACTAAGAGTAGTACACTAGTATGCAGTTTTGAATTCAGCAGCTGTCTTTATGATTGGCTTGTTGAATCATTGACAGACTTTTTGTTCAAAAATGCTGAATCATTCAGGAACGAAACACCATTGTGTTGATCAGTGGTGCAATGGTTGCTGAAACAGAGCAAAATAGTCTATTTTGACAATATTGTGTCTAAACTGTACGTCATTGTCCGTCCAGGTCCGGCTCCTGGATGGCATCTGGAGTATGTCGATGTGAAGGACGACCTGCTGGATCAAATCTTCCGCTTTCCCTGCGACCGATGGCTGGCCAAAAGTGAGGACGACGGGCAAATCATGAGGGAACTGGCATGTGCCAATAACGATATTCTGGATCTCAGTGACAAGACCAGTAAGAGAAGAGCGTTTCCTACGTGTGTAACTCACGAGCAGTGCATTTGTTTTGTGCATTAAAAGTTTCTTTGTAACGTCTTTTCAGAATATGAAATTGAGATCACAACAGCCAACTCTGAAGACGCCGAGACGAAGGAGAATATCTGGATCATTCTGGAGGGAAAAAAAGGACGTTCAAAGGAGTTTATGATGGAAAACTCAAAAAAGAAGAAGTTTTTGCGGTATGTACAATGTCCCGGTTACACGCAATGTAATTTTAGCCAATGTTACATATAACTAACCATTAAAAAAAAAAACATTTTGTTACATTTTAAATAAATGTTAAATGAAAAACATATTTCAGCTTGGCAACATTTCTCAAATTTCTATTTCTTAGAAATACAAATGAACATTTTTAAAACATAAAATACACGTTGACACCAAAAAAAAAAAAAAGTTGACTAAAATGAAAAAGAAAATGGAATATATACAAATATTCAAATATTTAAAAACTTAGGGCCAGTTTTACTAAACAGGGCAAATTAGCGCGAGAGCACAATTCCAAAACAGCGCCAATGGGAGGGGAAATTTTTGCAGGTGATTTACTAACAACAGCGCAAAATAAAGAACACAGACGCAACATCTCATTAGGAAATGTTTTATTTTTCCCAGCCTTATGTTGTATTGTTACCAAATTCTGGTTTAGCATGTCTTTAATTGTAATGTTTTTACAATTAAAACATTGAAGAAATATTGAATGATTATTCCTTACAAATAAGGTTTTAATAATTTTAGTAGTAGTAGTAGCAGCCTATTACATACATTCTGCTGAATAATAGTAATATATTTCTGCCGCAATGCCTTCAAGTTAAACCGAACTTTTATTTTGACGGGTTGCCGTGAATACCTTTACGTTTCCATTCATTAACACAGAGACACGCAGAATTCATGTTTAAATAGTCGTTTTGCAGCTTAATATTTACAAATACTAGTGGGAGTGCACGTACGTGTGTGTGTGTGTGCGTGCGCATCGGGATGTAACTCTGCTGTGCGTGATGCAGAGAGCGCGACCATAACGTAGAGACCGAAATGACATGCCGTCGTGTAAATAAGATAAATAACATAAGGCTGTTTAGTTTGCTTAATAACAGAACAAGGTATAGACCCGTTCTATCGAAAAGGTAACTTTAAATGACTTCTGTTGTGATCTGGCGCTATAGAGAAAATATAATTAAATAAAATTAACTTGACCTTCAAGGGTGGCGGGCCGCCCTCCTAATATAATGGCAGGGGAAACACTGCAATATACCAAGCGCAGCACAAATTAGCATAGTCGCAAATAAAGAAATAAAGAAGCCACAGTACATTGAAAAGAACCGGAGGCCAAAAAATGAAGGTTTGCTTCTAAGTTTTGAAAGAGCTGGTATTGTGTGACTCCTAGTTGAGGGTTCCAAGTCGTCTTTTTTTTCTTGAAGCAAATTAAATTTTTTACCGAAAACTTTTATATTTTGGCATTTTGAAAATCGTAGCTTTATCAGAATGAGATGACACTTGGTGACTTTTGTTGCATTAGCTATGTGAACACACAAAAAAAATCATGGACATGATTCGGATATGTTAAAGGGACAAAAAAAAAAGTCACACTTGGCTCCTTAATGCACATAGTTTTCCCAGATGAACGTTAAGCAATTCAAATTCACGGCATATGTAAATCGCGATATTTAATCTATATATTCTATATATAAATCGCGATATTTAAGTTATCATTAAGAGATCATGTGTGAACAGGACCTTTTCAAAAATCCCGGTAAATTTGTTCTGGCGATCATATCGTTCTTATGGAGATGACATGATTACCCTGAGCTGTTTACAAAGCTCCGCTGCTGTTTAATTAGTTTTTCTATGTAAATATGCGCTAGATGGACATATTTGACCTTCGCGCCTCGCAGCTTTTTGTCGCGCTTCTCCATTCGTCAGAGCTGCGACTCTGCAATTGGATACTATTATACGTGTCTCGTGTTTATAAGAGCAAAACATTCTGATTGGCTAGTAATGTTAGTTTGGTTGAGAGTGAAAGCTGTGCTCCTCTCATATCATTGGTGGCGAACTCATGGACTCAAAAGTGATATCAACAATTTTTTTTTAAATGTAGGATTATTTTTTTCCGCAGCCAAACGCTGCACGCCGGAGATGCAGCACGGTGCCAGAGAACTTTACGGTGCCGCTAGCTGTTAGTAAAACTGGCTCTTAAACGTAAACATAAAAATAATTAATAATCACAAATAATCCTAAAACGTTAACTAAAATTGAAAAGTTTACATATTTTTAAAACATAAAATATAAAAATAACTACTAAAAATAAAAAAAAATAAAAATTACAAAAGCAAAAAATACTAAAACGTTGACTAAATTGAAAAAGAAAATGGAAAATATAAAAATATTCAAATATTTAAAAACTTTAACTTTTGTTTTTGTTTTTCGTTTAACTTAACTTGATGTACTAAAATAACTAAAACTGAAATATACAGTAAATAGCTAAAAACTATATAGACGTATTAATAACTAAAATAAAAATAATTTTAAAATAACTACTACTAATAAAAATAACTAATAATCAAAAATAATCCTAAAACGTTAACTAAAATTGAAAAGTTTACATATTTTTAAAACATAAAATATAAAAATAACTACTAAAAATAAAAAAATGACAAAAGCAAAAAATACTAAAACGTTGACTAAATTGAAAAAGAAAATGGAAAATATTCAAATATTTAAAATCTTAAACTTTTGTTTTTCATTTTTGTTTAGTTTAACTTGATGTACTAAAATACCTAAAACTGAAATACTGCAAATAGCTAAAAAATTATTTTAAAATAACTACTACTAATAAAAATATCTAATAAAAATGACAAAAATTGTCATTTTATAAAAACAATGTTAACTAAAATTAAAAAGTAAATGAAAATTATAAAAATAAAAACATTCAAAATATTAATAAACACTATAATTGTATATCAATGATACTTAAATAATTCAGATTATCATTTAGACCTGTCCAAATGTCCAATAATTAAAGAAAACACATTTTTGGAATGACAAACGTCAAAAATAAATGACCATTAAACAATAGAGACTGAACAGATGACTAATAATGCATCATAATCTGACTCTGTTTCAGAGGTGCCACGGATTCATTCGAGTTTTCCTCTAAAAATGTGGGCGAGATCGTGGGTATTTGTTTGGGCCATATAACGAAGGAGAAGAAGGTGAAGAACGAGTCTTTCTGGCACGTGCAGGAGGTGGTGATCACGGAGAAAGAGCTGAGAAACAAGTAAGTTTACATCTGAAATTAGTGATGCACGATATTATCAGAACGTTATCGTAATCGGCCGATAAAGGTTCAAAATGTAAAAAATGATGCCGATATGCCTTGCCGATAATACGGATAACTCACATGTGCTCAGCGTGTGATAGTGATGAGATTACATCAGCAGTGTGGTCATTCTTGAAGCACTATTTTCCTGAATTATGATTCGATTCACTGTTTTGGATCGCCGCATTTAATTTGAGAATGTACATCCAGAACGATTTGTCCGGTGCGCGAGAGAGTCAACAGTTTCTAGCGCATCTGCAAATGCGTTTTATTTACTTAGGGGGCGCTGTTGGCCTACTTGTAATAAAATGAAAGTAATATACACAAATATCATTAAGATACTTGTGTTTCTGAATAAATAGAAGCAATATCGATGTCATAATATCACGAGTCTGTTTTGATTTAAAGGTCAGAACTATAGCTTGCATGAATAAAAATCACAAACATAACACTTGTAAAATAAATAATTTGATATATACAGATTTATTTATTAATATTCATATATTAATATTACATTTAAACATCATTAGTAATAAATACAGTACAAAATCCACCAAAAGTGAATCTAAGATTTTATTTTTTAACGCAATATGCACTTATCTAGTTATCATACATTATAATTGCTTAAATATTGTCAATACATATTTTTCTACTTGAGCTACAAAATGGATTATGGAAACTTAAATACATAAATAAAATATTTTTAGAATTTTTACAGCTCTTTTGCTTTAGACCATCTATTAATGTTAAATCCAACTGCATCTGTCTGAGAAAAATAAACACACAGCAGAGATTACAGTTATTTTCAAGGCTTGTACTCTCGTTAAAAAAAAAAGAACTTTAATAATGTTTATTACTTCTAACAAATAAGTCTTTGCTCAAAACTAACCAAAAATACTTTGTTAAAGCAATAAGCCCCGTGAAGCCATGGTTTACAGTGAGTTTATAACAGCTAAGGGATGTTGTTACGTACGACACGAAGCTGTTATAAATTCACTGTAAACCACGGCTTCACGGGGCTTATTGCTTTTATAAAACGGTTATTCCATATACGTAGTAAGGTTTCACAGAATAAAACAGAGCAAATAAAGTGTAATGATATTAATAAAAACAGTATTCTTCCACCAAACAATGTAGCTCCTCAGAAACAGTTGTGGTTGCAACAAAGTGGTTGCCGAGCAACAGACAAACGTAAACAAAGGTGTATGTTACTTTGTAGAGTAATTTACAACAGCTTCGAACGCGGCTCAGCCAATCAGAATCAAGAACCGGAACTCTCCGTTTTATAATTATAATTTCCACACAGGAGAGATTTGGCATTGTTTCAAAACAAAGGGAAATCGGTATTAGCATCGGCTAGCGGCCAGAATAATTTGAAAAATATCGGCAAAAATCGAATATCATGTATCCCTTTCTGAAATCCTGTCGTGTGCAGCTCCGAGCATCATTCTCTCTCTCGCAGATTCTACTTCACATGCGACGCTCGGATTCCACTGGCGGCCAAGAAAGACGAGTTCATGATGTTCGAGTGCACCAAAACCGTGGAGAGCTTCGCCAGCAAAGTGCGCAGTCTGGTTCCCGTCAAATACGAGATCATCATCATCACCGGAGACGTGAAGGAAGCCGCCACCGACGCCAACGTCTTCATCACGCTCTACGGCGTCAACGGAGACTCTGGGAAACGAGCATTGAAGGGGAAGTACAGGAACCTGTTCGAGAGAGGACAGACAGACCGCTTTCTGCTGGAGATGCTGGATCTCGGCGAACTCTTGAGGATCAAAGTGGAGCACGACGACAAAGGCTCTTCGTCCGGATGGTACCTGGAGTGCGTGGAGATCACCAACACCGCCAACTGGGTGACAACCATCTTCATCTGCGGAAAGTGGCTGGACAGAAATAAAGCAGATGGACAAATTCACAGAGTGCTGTATCCGAAATATTAAACGCTTTGGATTTTTAAATAAAGACGTTTCAGAAATCACACTCTTTGGGATAAAGCAGTTTGTACTTTTTTAAAGAAATTCAAATAAACGCACTGGGAATTACTGTCATGTTTGTCATCAGATTTCTTTAGATCCTGTCACATTGTCAAGCGACTGAACCTGCAAAGTTTATGTAAGCCGCCAAAAACATTGTCTACCGACATGTCTTCATAAAAGCGATTCCCAAACTTTTGTCAAACCACTTTGAGATTCAATTTTCAATATTCATTCACTTTGAGATTTTAAGTTCATATTTAAATAATTTATTAATGCATTTGCATGGTCATGATTCTCTGATGTTGGTTAATAGTCACGTGACATGCAGAAAAACAAATAAAACATTACATATTTTTAGTGTTTCATTTTGATTATATTATACGTTTTTGTGATTTAAATAATCATTCGCTTTTAAATCAATACACAAAGCCTTAAATTGTTTGTTGGAACAAGTAAATTAATTGACAAATATCCAGTTTTTCCATTTATTTTATGACTCATTTCTACTGAAAAAATAAACTATAGTAATAAAGTATAGTAATGAAACGTGCTTGGTTCTGTAAAACCCAATTCCCTTGAATTAGTTTTAAATCATTAGGTATGTTGTTGGTGCTTTCTAAGCTTTTTTGTCAAACCACTTGGAGATTTCTTGAAACTGAAGATTTTAAATTCATATTTCAAAAATTGATCCGTTTGCATGGTTAAGATTCTATGATGTTGGTTTATAGTCACATGACATGCACAAAAACAAATATTTCATCTTTTAATAAGCGTTTAAATCAACTTAATTCAACCCTCAAATTGTGTGTTGGAGCAGGTGACGTAAATTAATTTATAAATGTCTATTTTTCCTTTATTTTATGCACTTATGGCTGAGAAATAAACTTGTTAGTAGTTAGTAGTAGTCGTTATTGTGTTATCTAAAAGCCAAAATCAGTAAGACATGTTATTGTTGATTTGGAAGCCGGTCTGAAACAGTTTTCATGGTAAGTGCCTTCAAACACACACTGCTCTGAGAATGTTTTACTTAGAGTTTGTCATTTTCACTGGCACATTCACACTCATTTCCAACTGTCACATTGTTTGAGACTTTAGCAGTGGACGTTTCATCTAGTGATGTTAGGTTCTTGAACGAATCGTTCTTTTGAGCCGGTTCTCAGGAAGTAACCGGTCGAGCCGGTTCACAAATCGAACTGAATCGAACTTTAGTTCTGGGTTGGTGACGCAGGACGCACAGCCGAAGTAGCACGTCCAACTCAAAAAGAACCGAATGAGCCGGTTCAACCGACTGTCGAAGTTTGCAGAGGATTACCGAGGACTCAACAATAACCGAATGAGCCGTGGCGAAGTTTGCCGAGGATTACCGAAGACTCAACGAGAACCGAATGAGCCATGGCGAAGTTTGCCGAGGATTACCGAAGACTCAACAAGAAACGAATGAGCTGTGGCGAAGTTTGCCGAGGATTACCGAAGACTCAACAAGAAACGAATAAGCCGGTTCAACCAACTGTCGAAGTTTGCAGAGGATTACGGAGGACTCAACAAGAACCGAATGAGCCCCGGTTCTCAGGAAGTAACCGGTTGAGCCGGTTCACAAATCGAACTGAATCGAACTTTAGTTCCAGGTTGATGATGCAGGACGCACAGCCGAAGTAGCATGTCCAACTCAAAAAGAACCGATTGAGCCGGTTCAACCAACTGTCGAAGTTTGCCATGGATTACCGAGGACTCAACAAGAACCAAATGAGCCGTGGCGAAGTTTGCCGAGGATTACCGAAGACTCAACAAGAAACGAATGAGCCGTGGCGAAGTTTGCCGAGGATTACCGAAGACTCAACAAGAAACAAATGAGCCGTGGCGAAGTTTGCCGAGGATTACCGAAGACTCAACAAGAAACTAATGAGCCGTGGCAAAGTTTGCCGAGGATTACAGAAGACTCAACAAGAAACTAGCCTCAACAAGAAGCGAATGAGCCGTGGCGAAGTTTGATGAGGATTACCGAAGATTCTGATGAGTGAGTTGACTATACTGTGCAAGCTTGAGGCACGAACTGGAAATATGCTTGTTTATTATAACTGTTATTAATTTACATTTTATTAATACCTGCAAAAACCTTCCTGTCGAGTGATGTAAATACATTTTACAATAGTTAATTGTGCATGCATATTATATTTAAAGTTGCTTAAGATTATATGGCAATAATCAGCAATATGCTTTCACACAAATAACTATTTATTTGAATGTTTCAATACGTGTTGACACAAATTACTTAATTTAATTTTTCATTGATACATGGCACTGAGTTGTTAGAATTTTTTTTTTTTGTATTTTTTTTTTATTGCAAACAATTCAGAGATTACATTAATAAGTTGTTAGAAAAGAAATGCGTAGAGACGTTATTGCTTGATGACGTCAGGAACCGATGAATCGGCTTTTTGAACCAGTTCAATGAGCCGATCTGTCTGAAAAGAACCGGTTCGCGGAAATGAATCGGACTTTGCATCACTAATTGCTACCATCTCTGTTTATTGCAAACAATTCAGAGATTACATTAATAAGTTGTTATAAAAGAAATGCGTAGAGACGTTATTGCTTGATGACGTCAGGAACCGATGAATCGGCTTTTTGAACCGGTTCAATGAGATGATCTGTCCGAAAAGAACCGGTTCGCGGAAATGAATCTGACTTTGCATCACTAGTTTCATCTTTCATAAATCCAAATATGAACATCTAGGTAGTCTGAAAACTATGGAAGCCCGTTTCCGCCACTGAATAAAAAATGAACGAGTTAATTGCGAGTTTTTATCTCGCAATTCTGACTTTTTTTCTCAGAATTGTGAGATATAAACTCACAATTCTGAGAACATATCAGTCTTTTTCCCCCCCTCAAAATTGGACTTTAACTCGCAATTGCAAGTTTATATCACGCAATTCTGTGAAAAAAGTCAGAATTGTGAGATAAAAAGTCGCAATTACCTTTTCAGGTAATCTTTTCCTAAGTTAAGTGGCGGAAACGGGCTTCCATAGAAAACTCATGTTTTGATTTCTTTTTTTTTGTTTTTTTCTAAAAGATATTTTTGCTCTAAGTCTGAGCAGAGCCTGAGATGAACTGGGCATCAAGAGCCAGAGTCTTGTGAATGTGTTTTTGTGAGTATCTGATTGGTTGATTGATTAATCACATGATCATGATCAGCTGTGCTTGAGCTTTTCATCTCCTGTGAGATGGTTTCAAACAGCGACCTGCTGTTTCTGAGAGATTGGCGTCTTACTTTCTCAGAAAAAGATGGTTATTAATTTTCTGTATTTCTCATCAATTTACTTTTCTATTAGTTGTTCAAGCCTCTGTTAGGCTCTATAGGAGTTTTGTGTTTTCATAACACCTCTCTTTGGAGAAACCAGTTTCTTTTAAAGGATTTTCTTTCTGTTTATGAATTTTCTCTTATTTTGGCTTTCCTGAATGAAGAAAGTGCAGTTTTTCTTTTTTGACCGCAAAAAGAGTAAAGCATCAGACTATCAACAAATGTGCCATTTGCTTGCTCTTAAAATTTACAACGGCGGTAAAGCCTCTGAAATATTAGTTATTTTTAATCAACTGCTTTTCCTAAAGTGAAGAACTTTTTTTTTATTATATATTATATAAACACCCACCCTCTCATTAAACTACCAAACAATTACATAAGCTTCAGTAATTGATATTGTTCATGACAAAAAGTTTAAAAAGTTAATTTTACGTTCCTCTGCCTCGTCAATGTCAAAATGATTGCGATGACCAATCAAATCAAAGTAGGCGGGATTTACCGTTTACAAAAATCCGCGCGCAATCTTCAGCGCTTTTAACGGCGAAAGAGTGTAAGGTGAAATGTAAGTAGCTAAACATTTAATATTTGACAACTTTTTTTGAGATAGAAATATTAAACGACAGACAGTATTGTCCAGTTATGCAAAGTATTCTACTTCTGGGGTCAAAATTCGTCGTTTGAAGTCAAATTTATTATGTAAGTGACTTTCCTAATTGAATCATGTCACGAGAAAATATAAGCATATTTCTTTACTTTCTTATTTCCCTAAGTCCCCCCACACCCTATTTATACACTTATAGTGTTGTTAAAATTCAAGTATTTCTTTTGTACAGAGCTTTGTTTACACATTTCGATTTTCAGTACTTCTAAGTTTAAAATATGGTCAACAAGTTTAATTTGAAATTAGGTTATTTTGTTTACTCTGCACCTCAATACTCGACACTAGTTATTTTTAAGCCTTTTTTCTCTTAGTATTTATTATATTACATATTATGTAGTATCTACAGTAATTCAGTTAACATACACGGAAATCCTTTGTACACATTCCAGTTCAATGAAAACAAAAACCTGACGAAAAACAAGTCAGGACTGAGCTCATTACTGAAATAAGTAATATTTTTGGACATGAAAGCATAGATGTTATCTTTTGTTTTGGCGTAAATTATTCACTTAACGTTAAACTGCCAATAATGTAAGCCACTGGGAGACTGTAGATGGCTGTAATTCGTTGTATTGTATTAATAGAAAGTCAAATAATATAACGATTTGTAATACAAAGTATTTTCCCAAAATTAAGTTTTATTAGTATTTTCATAGAGCGGAAACATACGTGACATAGCCACATGCATTTAGTAGATCGTCTCATTCTAGTGTTTAATGCAGAGGAGGACTCTAGCCTACAAGCCTCTGAAGAACTGAACTAGGAAGGATGTAGTCTCTGTAGGATGCAGCCTTCCATTTGAGACGCACCCTTAGAGATGTTGTGGCTTTAGTGTGCACTAAATGATGCTTAATGATGCATTTAAAAGTTCACGACCAAATTAATGTTTATAAAAGTTCACATTGCATTTGCAGATGAAATATAACACGGATAACAATAAATAAATATTTTTTACCTCCAAATGTACGATTTGAACCAGAGACTGATTTCATGAGAGAGCTGGGTGGCCTGGGATCCTCCTCCACACTTCCTGCTAATCTGGGCTGCGTTTAAAAAAAAACATTGTAAGCTTAAGTACATCATAGACCCATTGAAACCAATGGACCTACGATCAAGTTAAGCTGCATTCACACTAACAGCGACTTTGTCGCTGCAGGTCGCCAGGGGCTGGCGATGAGGTTGCTAGTGGGCGTTCTCACTACCGGTTGCCTTGACAGCGAATCAGGTTTCTTGCTGCTAAATACAAACATTTTGGAGGCAAAAGACTAAATATAATATAAATATGAATTAAATCTGTACATACAAAAAAAAATGAATGAGAAACAGAGCCTACTTTCTTCCATTGCGTATGTTTATCTACGGCGCCGAGAGGAGAACGATCACATGAGCTCTATCGTCTTCTTTCCTATTGGCTGTCGCTCCCGAAAGTCGCTCTTCATTTGCATAAAGTTGATGGATTCTGAACTTTGTCGTAACGTCTGTAGTTGACGCTAAATTTTTGTTTAAATTGATAGTTTAGTTGTCCTATAAACTTAAATTGGTCATGTTCTTGTTACGCAGCTGAAATCCAAGTAAAAAATGCAGACCCTGTTGTATTTTCTTGTAATTTATTAAAAGAAGGTACACCGCCATCTTGTGCCGACTAAACTGACTTGAACGCACCTGACATCGTAATTATGACTTGTCAACTCGTAAATACGAACGACCCAGGAGGACTTGAACGCAGCATAAAGCCCCGTTCACACTAGCAGCGACTTTTGTCGCTGCATGTCGCAAGGGGCTGGCGATGAGGTTGCTAGTGGGCATTCTCAATACTGGTTGCCTTGACAGCGAATCAGGTTTCTTGCCGCTAAGTACAAACATTTTGGAGGCAAAAGACTAAATATAATCTAAATCTAAATTAAATCCGT